GCCTATTTCAAGAAAACATACAAAATATAAAAAGATTCTTCAACATTTGAAAAGTCTTTAAAGGTAACTCACATAAATAGACTAGAGAACAAAATCACATTACTATATTAATGGTGAAATAGCATCACGATCAATACCAACTTGTTATGAAAGCACCTAGAAAACAAGGCAAAATTAGAACTTCCTAAATTTAGTAAAAACTAAATGGTGAAAATTAGAACATTATACTTCATGAAGGAATTTTAGATGATTTTCTTTATGATTAATGTAGCACTGGAAGACCTGTCCTCTACTACACAGTTCACAAGGATATCTCTTGATGGTATCTAAATGACATTACCATCTACTTCAGAAAACCAACAAAGTAAATAGATAAACTATTAGGATTTGTAAGAGAATTAATTCATCAATGATGTTGATAATATTCCATTTCACTCCTCTACTGCTGTGATAACCAATTGGAAAAGATAAGAAATACGATATTAGGTCAATGTAGCAACATAAATACACATATGTAAATATATGTGCTTTCTAGGAACTAGCCTGGGACATACAATATCTGCAGAGAGATGTTTTCTAAACTCTTATAAGTATTCTAGACAGAAAGAAAAAAACAAATCAAATTCAGTGAAAAATAATAAATTGGTTTTACTGCACAAATAAAGCTCTAACATTCAAAATATTAATGCAGAAGAATAAAATCATATAATTATCATTAAAGTAATAGAAAGAATATTTGATAAAATTAAATATACACTTATAATTCTTATTTTAAAAGGTATTAAAAACTGAAAGCTTCTTTAATCTAAAATGAACACATTTAATGGTGAATTACAGATACTTTCTGTGTCTGTGAATGAGGCAAGAAGGTCCCTCATCACTAACCCTATTTGGTATTACACTAGAAGCTATAGTTTCAACAGAAGGGGGAAAAAAGTACAATCATTGGAAAGAAGAACTAAAATATATCAATATTAACATTAGTATGTATAAAAAAACAAAGAAAATCTAGACACATCCTTAAATTTCAGCAAACACAGCAAAGAGAAAATTAAAATATAGAAAAATATCTTTTGTAATGGCATAAAAACCAAATACCTAAGAATAAATCTGAAAAAAAGTTCAAGTTCACCACAAAAAATTTCTAAAACATTAGTGACAGAAATGAAGAGACTTATAGAACTACAGAGCTATACCAAGTTCATGGATCAGAAGACTTGATTTAAAATGATGTTAATTTTCTCCAAACCAATGCACTGCTAATCAGAATTCCAGGAGGACTTTTGTGGAGGTTAACAAGTTAATTCAAAAATGTATACGAAAATTCAAAGAACCAAACCTGAAGGAAAATAATAAATTGGAAAGTTTATTCTACAGTAATAGTTCTCAAATTTGACTGCATTTTATAATAGTCAGGGAGATTTCTAGAAACATGAATAGTGACATCTCACTTCTTCCATAATTAAATCCTTATCTCTTAAAGAAGTATCCAAGCGTCTGTATTTTAAAAGCATCTCAGGTGTTTTAAATGCACAATAATGTTTGAGAACAAAGGTGCTATAGCGTATTACTATATGTAACATGATATGAATTACACATTATATATTCTGCAAATCTACATTAATTAAGACAGGGTGGAAGTGGTGTAAAAGTAGCAATTAGATAACTGGAATAACATAAAAACAAGAGACCCAGATCTGTATGCACACTATGATTATGACTAAGGTAACATAAAAAGCACTAGAAAAAAAGCATCAGTTGGCTCTAGAGAAGAAAGAAATAAATCTTGGCCTCCATTTCACACCATATACAAAAAATGAATTCCAGGTAGAGTACAGATCTGAAGGTGAGAGCAAATAATAAAATTTATAGAGATAATATAGACTATTTTCATAACTACCAAAAGGAATATAATTATAAATTGAACAAACTAACACTAAAATACAAAACTTCCATTCATCAAAAGATACTGCTAAGAAAATGAAATGTCAAGCTATACACACTAAGAGGATCTCTGCAGCACAGATAAATGAGAAAGTAAATTTTATATGCATTTCATCAAATTAGTAATAAAAAATTACAAAATATAATACAAACAAGCAAGAGCTATGAGGTCGCTCCTAAAAGGAATCTTTGAATAGCCAAAGAAAGGAAAAAGAGAAAGGAAAGAGGAACGAACGAAGGAGAATGAAAAGAAAAGGAAAGTTGTTCAATCTCACTAGATAAAAAAGAGTTGTAAAATTAAAACAAATGGACTCTCACCAGAATGACTAAAATTAAGAAGACAGTGTGTTGGATGTGATGGTGAATGCCTATAATCCTAGCACTCAGGAGGCTCATGAAGTTGAAGCCAGCCTGGACCCTATTTCAAAAAAAAAAAAAGACATAATATTAAGTGTTATCAGGCATATGGATTAATTGGAACTCTTTTAGACACTAAAGGAAATGTAAATTCAAACAACTTAGGAAATTTTTTTCATTTCTTACTAACTCTGAACATGTGCATCCAACAGAGAAATTCCACTTATTTTTATACCCAACCTACCTGCACATGTGAGTATGCATGTATAAGAATGTTCATGATGATATTACTGTAAAACTTCAAACTGGAAATAATTCAAAAGCCATTGGCAGTAGAAAGGATAAATAAACTATAGTATATTCACACAATAGAATATTATATACAGTGAAAATGAATGCACTATTTAGAACAAGATAGATAAATTTTACAGATATAATGTTGAAGACATATGCCAACCAGGAAGGAATAAATACTGTTATTTTCCATTTATAAAAAGTTCATAAGTGGAGAAAATTCATCATGGTGGTTAATTTAGGAGAAAATTCATCATGGTGGTTAATTTAGGGGAAAATTGTGGATAGCAACTGAAAAGGCGCACAGGATGGGCTTTCTAGAATACTTGAAATTTTCTAGTAAGACGACAGTTAATTGAATGTCCTTACTTTGTAAAAATTCATCTTAATTGAATTATAACATTGTAATAATGTATGAAGAAGATGCTCTTAATGTTTCTTTTGTAAAACAATATAAAAATGTCATTTCTTCTCAAGTTAATATGTTAAACCAATACAATCCAATAAAAATCCTAGCCTGATATCTTATAAATTCAACTGGATTTAAAAAAAAAATGAATTCCAAAAGTCCATGATTTGAGAAAAATAGTGAATACAAAACAGAGGACTGTATATTGACTAAATGTTAACATTTATTTCAGAGCCGTCATTACAAAATAATTTGCATGATTTGGGCAAAATTAAGAAAAAAAATAGTTAGTGGAAAAGATGTTTCAGAGATAGATTAACACATCCATGAGTGTATAATATGACTTAAAGGTAGTGATCCTAATTGGGGGGGGAATGGCTAGCTTAATAAATGGCACTTTGAAATAAGGCTTATTGTATAAAGAAAACTAAAATTGCACATCTCATAGAAAAATGTCCTCCTCAACTGGAATACGATATATGTTTATATGGAAATGTCACAACAAAACCCCTGTATAGCAATCATATACTAATAAAAACTTTTAAAATTTTTAAAAGAAAAAAATTCTCCTCCAAGTAGACTAAAAACCAAATGTAAAATGTAAAACTGTAAAGTTAGTATAAAATAATATCAGAAAATACCTTTTCCAAGACATTAAGAACTTCTCACACAAAACCTTAAAAGCAAAACCCTTGTGACAAGAAATGATTTACATTTGACTAACATCATAATATGGCATGCATGACAAAAGATGATCTGCTTCCAAATAACTAATTCCCAAATGAATTAAACCAAAGCCTATAACAAGCTGAGGGCAGCTGGGGTATTAATTCATTGCCTTGCGGAGGAGTGGAGGGTGGCTGTGTGTGCAGGCATGTGCTTACATGCAACCTGGATCTGACATTTATCAACCTTTTTTTATTTCATAAGAAAATATGTAACTGATTTAAGATTGGGTTACACCCTAATAAATCCACAGTAATTTGAAAATATAAGTTGAAAATGTGAAAGAAATAAATACATAGAATGTGTCAAATACACCTAACCTTAGCCTGGCCGACCTTAAACATGCTCCCAACACTGACATTAACTTACAGTTGGGCAAAACCATCTAATGCAAGCCTATTTTATAATAAGTTATTTAATATTCATGCAAATTTATTGACTACTGTACTGAAAGTGAATACCAGAATGGTTGTACGAGTATCCTTGCACACCACTGAAAGTCAAAAAATTGTAAGTCTACCATAAATCAAGGGCTATTTGTCTATGAATGGGAAAGACTGCCTATGAGCACTTCTTTCTGCTATTTTTCCAGTAGTTTGGCCAGATCTTACTCTACCATTGCTTCAATTCTATCATTCTTATAATCAGAAATACTTGTAATATGCTGTCGTAAGTTACACCAAAATTCGCCAACTTTTTGGCATATTTTAAAAAAATTATCTTGTGACTAACAGACATCAATTTCTATATCTTCCAATAAAAATTTTCACTTTTAAAGAATTCAGAGTTGGGCCACTACAGAAAAAGCAAGAGAAGCATTTATGTAAGGAGCAGCAATCAGAAGTAGGTAAGAGCTTAGAGACAGTTCTTTCTAAACACTGTGCTTTTGATAGTAGCCTTTGTTTTGAAAAAACTGATTTTTTTATATTCTAGAAACAAATACCAATACCTTTAAACTTTTCACCCTTGCTTACAACCAACTTCAAAGAACAGGCAGGAACAATTCAACACTAGCATGAACTACCACATGCCTACAAAAATTCAAGCTTCCCATCCTTCCTTCTCCCATCCACCCCAGAGACCCATCTAGTTTCTTCCTTCTTCAACAGTATTGACTTTTGACCATTCATCAGTTACTTATTTTCATTTTTGTAGTCACCTTTCCTTTAGAGAACTCATATACTCTTTATTAAAATGGTCCCCACTAATTCCCAAGAGTACAGACTTTGTAAGTACTCTGTAGCCAGCTAAGGAACTAGAGAATGCTTACCTTCAAAATAGATGCCTGACTGGATTTCTAGGACCCTGGGGAGAGTCCTGAGGTCAAGGGAGTTGACAAATTCTTCCAGGGATAATGCCATTGTTGTATCTTGGATCTTGCGAAGACGTGGTTTTTACAAAAACTTGTGGCTTCTGGCTGTCACTTGTCTGCAGTGGCAGTCTTTGCTCATAATTTCTTCCTCCAATTGGCAGGATGTCACACTGGAACCAAATGAAGTTACCAGTCTGCAATTGCTGTCCTTGTTCACAAACTCTTCCCTCAGGCAGGCAGGAAGTGACCCTGGAGCCACGCCAGGGTGGAGCAGTTCTAGGTGGGGAGGACAGTGAGAAAGGAGGGAGGAGGCAGGAGACAAAAGGTGTCATTGCTCTTTTTGTGGCTTGATTTCCTTCTGACACTGAAGTAGAGCAGGGCGGGGGTGGGTGAGTTTGTCTGAATCTAAGCTACCCAGCAAAGGAGAGCTGGCAAGTTGCTGGCTCTGTCTGTTGCTGACCCAGGTGTGCATCCATGGCAGTGGCAAGACTGTTTGAGGTCAAAGGGTGCTTGTTGCTTATCCACTAGAAAAGAACAAGGAATGTCGGACTAAAGCCTCCCCTTAAAAAGGGTACCATATGAATTCATTCTCTCCAGTTCACTTCTAAAGTTTGACTTTGTGCCTTATTTGCATACTCTTTTGCTTTTATATTAGACTTGTTTGCAAAAGTGCTTTGTGTCAGCTCTTTTTAGAAATCTGATAGTCTGGAGAGAGTATCGAAACCACTTTTTATCTTTCCACATTAAAAATTATGCTAAATCTTGAGGGAGGGACACAATATACAAAATGGTACAGGAATTAATATAGTAAGGTACTAAGAACTTTCTGATCTTCACACTGTAATGGAAATTATTTAGATCAGTTGTTAGGAGCCTAGGTTTCCTGGGCTCAGCTTTGATTTTGACTTACTGGAGAACTTCAGCCTTGTCTTCTCAGAAACTCATTTGCCTCATTTGTTAAGTGGGAAAAAAAGTAAGAATGAAATAAATTGTACAATCTCTGTCAAGGCGAAAAGTCTCATGAAAACCAATCTTATCTTCTTTATTCTTTGTATTTAAGTCAAATAGTAATTTTGAGCTAGATCATATAACTGAAAGTGACATTCTCTAAGTCTCTTAAAGGTAAATTTTAAAAAGGCTGGTTGTTGTAGACACAGCTGAAAGATGCCAAAAAGAATCTCCTTATAAACAGGTCTGTAGGCTCCCTGCTTATCAACTGTTTTGACCTTAAGCAGAGTACATAGGTATTCCGCCTCCATCACATCATCCTTTATGTAAATAACCTAGGACAAAAATACTGCCTGATTTTCTGTTTGTTTGTATGTGTGTTTGGGGGACTAGGGGTTGAACCCAGGGCCTTGAGCATGCTAGGCAAGTGCTCCACCACTTGAGCCATGCTTCCAGTTCCCATTTTTTTTTTTTATTTTGTTTTTCAGATATGATCTGGTTAACTTTCCCCAGGCTGGCCTCAACTTGTGATCCTCTTGCCTCCACTTCCCAACTAACTGAAATTACAGGAGCATACCACCATACCAGGTTCTTCCTGATTTTGATATAGAACTTATCACATTTTTTCTGGTCCTCAGAGCTATCATATTACAATTTGACATTTGTAATAATTTGATTAGGTTTAACTCTTTCTCAGCAAAACTGAAATGTGTGGTTGATTTCAACAAAAGGTTTCCATCAGTATCTTCTACTTCCTCACTTAAAACACTTTTGCCTCAATATCTCCCAAACTTGATGAGTCTGACATCTGTCTCTCCCTCCCCTTGCCAAGTGTAGCTGCCTCGATTGACAGTGAACATTGTTTAAGGCCTAGTAGCATATTTCATATGGTGGAATATACAGAAAGGGCTGGTATGGAGTGCTCTTTAAAAGTTATGCTTTACAATTGGTGTCACAATATGTCTTATTTTGTATTAGCTGGCCATGGTGGTGCACACCTGTAATCCCAGCACTCTTGAAGCTGAAGCAGGATGACTAAGAGTCCAAGGGCATCCTGGGCTATACAGTGAGACCCTGTCTCAAAAAACAAAGCAAAACAAACAGAAAAAAATTTTATTTGTTATCTAATGGATTTGATTTTCTAAAAAAAAAAATCCTAAGCCAACTTTCTGTCCTACTAGTCAAAGCTGGCAAGATTTTATAACATCACTAATCAGAATCTATGCTACCCCTGATTTCATTCTTCAAGCAGATAACCTTCCCTGTCCGTGAGAATCTGCTCCCCTTGTATCCCCAGCCTTAGTTGATGACATTACCATTCTCTTCATTGCCCCAAACCAGAAAGCTCGGAGTCATGGAAGAATCCACTTTTCCCAGTCTCCCAATCTCACTCAACACCAGCCCTTCTGTCCTTATCCTGTGTTCCATTTCTACTACAATTGTCTACACCATGCTCACTTCCCATACTACAAGCAGACTCCCTGTGTGAACTACCAAGATGAAATTGACAAGATCAAGTACTGAGAAGACATTCAAACTATTCAGTAGTGAAATGAATTATTGAAGTCCAGTCATTAACAGGAAGTTATAGTGCAATAATAGATTAATGAGAGCTAGAATAGAACCAGACTATGGACCCTATAGAAAACTGTGTTGTTCCAGAACAGCATGAAAGGAAGAAGGTTTTATTCAACAAATGACTGTTAAAGAACTGAAAAAGAGACTGTTTGATAAAATTCTTCAAAACAAAATTAAACATAGATAAAATTTTAATTAAATTTAGATTAAAATAAACCAAAGGAAAATGATTGGAAGAAAGTAAAAAAAAAAAAAAAAAAACATAACTTTTTTTAAACCTTAATTAAAGTCATTTTTCTTTTTGTTTCTTTTTTTTTTTTTCTTGTGGGCTGGGGTTTGAACTTGGGGCTTCACATTTGCAAAGCAGGCACTATACTGCTTGGGCTACACCTCCAGTCAATTTTGATCTGGTTATTTTGAGATATGGGTCTCACAAACTATTTGCCAAGACTGGCCTCAAAATGACATCCTCCCCAACTCAGACTCCTAAGTAGCTATGATTACAAGCAAGAGCCACTAGCACACAGTTCTTAATTAAAGCCTTAAAAGAAAAGACAAATAGATTTGAGGACAAACATATAAAATATCTCTATAAATCAAAAAAGAGTTTTAACAAAATAGGAAAAAAGTATACACCTTTAATAAAATACAGAAAAAGTGCATACTTCAAATAAAAAATTTGTGTCCTGGATATATATGAGCACTTATAAATAACAAAAATAAAAATATTTAAACACCTCTGCTGATCAACTCTCCTACCAAAGGCACTAAAAATGCTGAATCACTTTTTTTATTTCACAATATATTTACAGGTAAATGGATCACTTTTTAAAAAGCCATTTAAGGGGCAGGAGAGTTGGGACCTGAGAGACCAAGATTCTGGAAAGCAGGGCAAGATGATGAAAGGCACCAGTACTGTGCACTTCTTTTCCCTCAAGGTATTTGTGCCTTAGTAATTGGCACCAACAGGGTGGCTGAGAAGCAAAGCAAAAACCTGACTGCTAAGGAGGAGACATGGTGTGTCAAGTTTTTAGCAGTTTCAAACAACTACAGAAACCAAACATTGGAATTTAGGGCTAGCAAGTCATCCAGTAACACTCAGAGAAATGGTGTGTTCAGCCCTACTTTTTCTCCTTAGGATTTCAGGATACTCAAAAGCAGTAGCATGTCAATTGGATAAGACATGAATTAAGAGGTGATCCAAAAGAAGATGAAGGACAGAAGCTGTGGTATTTGCAGTCTTGGGAAGACAAATCCTGAACAATAGGCTGGAGGAGCTTCGAAGCTTTGGCCTCTGAAGGCTGACAGACTAAAGCAAAAGTAAATGCTCAAAAAAACAGTATCCAATATGGCAACTAGAGTGCAGAAGCAGACAGCTCCGTAAATCAAAAATCTTGCTGAGACACTGGAGCCACACTTGGCAGAAAAAAAGCACCAAAAAGAATAAAAATTTCAGCACCCTGAACCCCTAGCCCATACAAAACCTCTCCATGCCAAGTTACACTGAGAAAACAGGAGGGCTCCCGCACCACCAGACACCAGCTCCAAACCTGCTTGGGAGACTTCTGGCAGACCAATGGTTGAGGACCAAGTGTCACTTGGTACTTCCACAGCTACCCCTGGGATTAACCAGCATAGCTCCCTGGATAGACTGACCCCCTGCACCACACACACAAAAAAAAAAACTGAATAATAAACAAGGAACTGAAAAGGAACATGCAGCAGAGGGAGCAGGGTGCTGTAAGCACACTGGAGAAAGGAGGAAGAGCAAGGAGCATATCTCCATGCTAACTTCAGTAAACAAAGGCTGGAAAGACAGGACTGACAGTGAGTGGGTGATAAGCCATGGCCTGAAATAGGGCAGGTAGCAGTCCACAGAGCTCATCTCCTGAGCCAGTAAGCAACATCCAAAGTCAAACGACATTTCAGAATTAAAAAACAGTCAGCAAACCATCATAACATGCTGACAGCAGGGGGCCGGTTGACAGATCTCTGACCTTGCCCCAGAGAAAGGGGGAGAGGCAAAGAAACAAGCCTCCAATAAACCAACACAGCAAAAACCCAACTCCAAAGCAGGACAGCTGGTAGGCTACAGAGCTGACCTTCATAACCTGAAGACAAGAAACACCTCACTGAGGGAGGAGCTGATTAAGCAGCTGCCACTGAAAAACAGGAAAAAAAAAAATTGGCGAGACTCCCCAAACACCAGGCAAGACTAAGACAGAGCTTCTGCTTAAATATCAACACCAGGACTGGATGCTGAAAGAGTAACACCAGAACTACTAAGACTAAAATTCTATTGTTCCTGAACCTGGAATTATTTTGTGTGTTTGTTTGTTTGTTTTGTTTCCTGTTTGTTTTTTTGTGTGAGGTTGTCCATCTCTCCCTATTGATTTCTTTGAGTATTTTTTATTTCTTTATTTTTGTTTTATTTTGTTTTGTTAGTTTTACCATTGTGAGTTACCTAATACTAAATTACACACAGACCAGGGACAGAAATAGCATACATACAGTAACCTAAAACCCAACACACCCACAATACAAAATTAAACCAAGGGAAAGAAAACAGGTGACTGAAACCACCAACAACCTATCAAGAATATAGTTACACAGTACCAAGTGGAGCAATGGGAAGACAAAAAAGGGATGGAAACCATTCTCTTCCAAAAAAAAATTCAATACAGGATAGAGAGGAAAATGAAGAAAACAGATACCCAGTTCCAGACTCAAACAAAGCCCATGAG